ACCCCACCAATCCCTGGTGATCATAGCTCTCTCTTCTTACATGGAACACGACCATCTTTCCCAACAATTTTCCTAGTGAACATGCCACATCGGCAGTAGGTATTGCAGGCATCCCACAGATTTATTTATTTATTTATTTATTTATTTATTTATTTCCCGTCTTGTTGCCTGTGATATAACCCTTGGGCCCTCAGCTGGAAAACAGGTCTCTGTGCCCCATGATGCTGACCTGTGATCATCCTTGAGTGAATTTAGATGAGACAGAGCTCAGTGTAGAAGACAGGCAGAATTCATTACAGGATAAGAGGGGACGTTTTCAAGGGTGAGGCGCACGTGAAGACTCAACAGTTGATGCTGACTACCCATCCCCCCCTTTCCTTCGCTTTTCCTCCTGCATGCATGCCTGCTGCTGCTGCTGCTGCTGCTGCTGCTGCGTGGGACACACACTTTTCAGCTAGCTAATTCACCCTGTCTCCTCACATTCTGCTTACCACTGTCATACCTGTTGATCTGTCACTGCCTCTGGATTACCACCTCAGTTAGGGAACTTGCATGTCTTACCTGGAGTTATGCTCTCATTGAGATCTGATAGGGGAGATAGGTGGGGTATTTGCTCCAGAAGTACCAGGCATTGTGTGCTCACTGGTAGACCAGTTAAGGGGAGTGGCGATGTTTAAGATGCTTAATACAGGAATAGATGGGGTCGGGCATCATCTTGGGTGCTGTTAGTTTGTTAATCCATTGTAAGCCTACTCATTTATGAATTCTACTTCAGTATGAATTTGCAAGTTGCTAGAATATACTCTGACTCATTTGCGAGGATGCTCTCACCAAAGCTGATCTATCACTCAGCACAGAGAGGAAAAGTTCAGGTGGCGGTGGGTTGTAATCTATGAGTGACAGAGATATTTCCCAGCACCCAACTCCAAAAATACAAGGGCTCTCCAAAGTGCCAGGTATCATTTTGTTATGCTCATAAGTCGACTGACTCTAGAAGTCTCCAGAAAGCTTCAGGGTGGGAACTGATATAAGTCAGGGTTACAATTGACTTTTAGCTTCATACCCCTTCCTAGAGAAGGAGAGGAAGGCTGGATTTGAGATCACCAGTGGTCACTGAGTTAGTCTATCACACCTACACAATGATACTTCCCGAAGAAGGGGCCATCATCAAAGGTTGCATTCAGGGAGTATCTTAATAGGGGAACATTTGAAGATTCTTGGACACTCACACTCTTCCTGAGGGCACAGGGCTCTCCCCCTCCCAAATTCCTGGGCATCCCTCCCATCTGGTATTCACCAGCATCCTCTGTAGTATCCTTTAAATAAACCAGTAAGTGTGTTCCCCAAGTTCTTAGAGCCACCATTCCAAAGCAACCTAACCCAAGGAGGGGGAGGAGGTGCAGGCGATGAAGGGATGCTGGACCCTCCAAAGAGGCCATGAACTGACTGACAAGGTAGTATTTGGAAGTGGAGCAAGGGCTGTGAGACTGGATGATCGCCAGGATGACATCGTCAGAACTGAACTGGATGTGAGGACACCCAGCTGGTATCCACTACATGATTGTTTGGCTAGGAGAAACTTCACCACATTTCTTAGTGACCAGAGGTTAAAAATCAAAGCAAAACACCCATCTGTGAAGACTTGTAAAAGGAGAATAGAGAAAGGAAACACCCCGGTTCCCCCTTACCCCCATATCGTTAGACCGTCACTTTGCAATACTCTGGAAGCAATGGGTGTTGCTCACTTCTGCTTGCTCATCTGTCACAAAGGTGGAGCCCGCCTAAAGAGACTCCATGTAAATTGAAAGAGATGATCCAGAAGGTCATATGACTGTGTTGAATGCCTTTAACCCCAGCAATTGGGAGGCAGATGGAGGTGGATCTCTGTGAGTTTTTACAAAGAATATGAAACCAACTCAACTCCCAGGGATCTCCAGAGGTCAGTGTAGGCATCTTTAGCTATAGATTTGAGGAGGAAGCTACACAGAGTCCTCCTGGCTCCCACCTAGTCAACTTCTGACACCTCCAGTAGGATTTCGTCCATCTTGCTCCATGGGTTTGAATATGTTTAATGATGGTTTTCAGGATGCATTTAAGCATTGATCCTAAGCCATAGCCCTTACACTTGCTAAAAACCTACTTCCTTTCGGATTTCCCTGTTAGAGCATGCCAACTTTCATACCAAGTGATCAACGCGTACACATGTCAGGGCTGACACTAAGGAACCTGTGCAACCTCTTATCAAAGCCTGTCTACCTTGACCACTTGTAAATTATGGAAAACTTTAAGGAACCAAAGATGCCTACATGTTAAAAGTAGGAAAACTAGATGCAAGGTTTCCTGCCCAAATACATTCCACTTTTTTTTTCTTTATGGCCCAGGGTTTCACACTGTGTTTCCTGAATTCATATAAAAATCTAAGCCCCAACATGCTAGTGCTAAGTGCAAGGCCCACCACTTTACTCAGCAAGTAAAACCTGGCACGTGTGTCAACCTTTTAGGTCACATCTGTCACCTTCCTTCTTTCCAAGTCAAAAGACGAGGCACTGCCAATCCTTACCCAAGGGTCCCTTGAGACTGTTTTCTTTCTATTGGGAGAAAAACTCCCATTCCCTGAGTTGTGACAGAGCCCAGACTGCAGGTGGAGGCTGGCTGTCTCCTGTCCAGGGTGCCATTTCTCCTGCGTCCCTTAATCTCAGAAGCTGACCCTGGCCTTTCTCCTGCTGCCCGATGGCTCCTTCTAGTCCTCTCCTTTCTTTGAAGATGGGGACATCAAAATGACACAATCTGACCGATCATACCTGCGTTTTGATACGTTACAAAGATGGCTGACTGGGGGACGTCCCTGAGGGACAAGCTGGAGGCTGGTCCGGAGCCTGTCCGTGTGCAATCAGGCTCAGTTTACTACTCCCAGCAGTGGCGGGGGTGCCGGCGAGGGGATGCTGTGGGTGAGGGACGGAATGTGGGAAGTAAATCAGAGAGCAGCACCCTGCCTGCGGTGCGTGAGGGGGTTTCACGAGAACAGTGGGCCCCACCCATTTCTACTTTGGAGCTGGAGGATTCTCTCTCTCCTTTCTTCCTTTTCTTTTTTGAGACAAGGTTGTTCTTGACTTACAATCCTCCTACATCACCCTCTCTGGCACTGGGATCATAGGTCTTCCTGATTACATGTGGTAAGATAAGGATTTGAAGATGAAATAATGAGGTTTGTAATTGAGCTTAACAGGGGGAGGATATGCCCCAAAACGAAAGGTATGGATTTCCAGTATCTCGTACATTACCTGGCACAGGAGGAGATTCTGTGAACACTGGTGTTCACCAGGGAGAGCGTGTGGAACACAGGCTGGGGAAGACTGAATAGCAAGCTTTGTGAGTTCGGGCTTCAGGAAGAGTTCCCATAGTGGTTACAGATGAAAGACAGGTCCAAGAAGATGAGGACTAAAGTCTGTTCTTGGATTCAACAACTGGGAAATCACTTGTGATCAGAAGATTTCTGTAGTGTGGTTGGTCCTGAGGAGGCAATGCCTGAGCTTGAGGAGTCAAGGATGGCGAAGAGAAGGGACATACATTTACTTTGAGAAATGGGAAGAAATGAGATGAGACATTTGTGAGCATGAGTTGCATGATGGAAGGCTGTAGCCAACTTTTCATTACACCCAGCTTCTCAAGGGAGATGGACAGGGACATCCTGCTCGGTTGCTGCTGTAGTTTCACAATCAGATTAAGTTATCATTTATGAAAAAACAAAACAGGGATGAACAGCTCTATTCCAACTATGACTTGTCTTCATGTAGGGAATAAAAGCAGATTACGGTTCAGTACCATCAGTCTAACATTGGCCACACTTAAAAATTGATGCGGTCCCTTACTGAGTGCTTACTGTTTCTAGTAACCGGACAGAGCTTCCAGAAGGCACAGGAGGCAGGTGGATAAAGGTTCCAGACAGGGCGGAGTGAAATGGACACGGCGTACACTACACCACCAGCCTGGGTAGAACACAGACATGTGGTGATTGCGGTTGATGGGAACCCAAGTCTTGGTTGGTTTTATGGACGGATACGTGACCTTGTGTGGAAAAGGAGGGTGGATGAGGGCAGGAGTTGCGAGACTGGGGAGTCTGTGGGATCCATATGGGGTGGGAATGGGGGGACAGCATTCTAGAAAGCGTTTCTATTGGTCTTCAACAGAACTTTCTGCTGAGCCTCGTGCGCACAAGGGGCTTGAACTCTCCATGGGTGGAGACCTAGGACACCCACTTTGAAAGGTCCTTCTCCATTTGCCACCCAATTTAAGAGATGTTCTGTTATTATGCAAATCCATGAGATTAACCCTCTTCTTACACACTGTGGCATGGAAGTAACTTCAGCATGGAAAGCCTCAAAAGGTGTGACACCAATTCTTCTTGAGAAGAATGATGAGTCAGGAGATCCCACCCGGTTGGCTCACCAAGGTGTGTCAATCACTGGCACACTGGTCCAAGTTCCTAGAGTTTAAATCCTATCCTCCAATGGCAAGACACTATCCTCAGGGCTGGCTTCTCATTGGTTCCTAGTGTGGGCGGGGCTACCCACTTGGCTGCCCACTGGCTCCGCCCCCATCCCATGCAAAAGGAGCCAGGGCTCTGGCGAGACCACGTGACCGGGTCACGTGCAGGGGGACGGCGACGGGCTCGCCCCACCCCCTGATGACGTCACCACCAAGCCAAACTCTCTCGAGAGCTTGCCTAGGGCTGGGGGGGGGGAGCTGACAGGCTGTGCCCCCTCCCCCAGCCCCCCCAGAGCTGGGTGGGGGGGGCGCCAGGCCACACCCCCTCCGGGGCCTCGAGGCCCCGGGGTGCAGGGGCCTGCAGGGGCCCGTGGGAAGGGCCCAGGGGGTCCCCAGGCACACTGCGCGCCCATTGGCCGGCCCCGGCGGCATGCAAATGAGGCGACGTCACTTCCCGAGGCCGCCGAGCGCCATCTTCTCTTTCTGGCGCGCGGGAGGAGGGCCGGGCGGGCGGGCGGGCGGGCGGGCGGGCGTGGGGCGGGGGTCCCGCCGCGCCGCGCAGGCGGAGGACGCGGCGGTGCTGCGACGGCGGCGGGACGCGGCGCTGCTGGCGCCCCGCGGTAGGTACGGCGCCCCCGGCCGCGCCCCCGGCCCCGGCCCCGGCCCCGCCGCGGGCCGCCCCGACGTCCCCGCCGTCGCTACCTCTGCGCCTTCGGGGCCGCGGACGCTGCGGAGCGCGGCTCGGGTCCCCCGCGGGTCACGTGGCCGCGGGGCCGTTCCGGGGCGGGGCAGGCGCGGCCCGCGGGGCAGGGACGGGGAGGACGCGGCACCCGCGCAGCCCCGGAGCCGGCGACCGAGGCCGGCGGCGAGGGACGGGGACGGGGCGGGGACGGGGCGCCGGGCGTGGCGACTGAGGGCGGCCGGCCCGGCGGGCGGAGGGGACGGACGGCACGGCGCCGCGCAGCCCCGCGCAGGGCGCCCCTCCGCGGCCACCCCGGGCCGAGCCGAAGCCCGAGGACCAGCCGGCTGGCGAGGATGGCGGGATGCGGGGCAGGGTCGTTCGTGGTCACATCCGAAGGGCAGGCGCGCCTAAGGCGCTGCCGAGGGCAGACCGCTGCCGCCGCGTCCGCGACCCCGCCGCGACCGTGACTCGCTTGCTACGCAGGTGCCGATCGTGAAATTTAACTTTGCATCTGCCATTTTAGCGCGGTTGGAATCGATCTCGTTCTTAACATTTTCTACCGAGGGTTTGGACCGAGATCATGAAAAAGAAAAAAAAAAAGTGCAGGTTGAAAGTGTACGGTGAAGCAAGGCATACTTTTTTTTGGAAGTATGGTTTAATTTAAGCTCGCTTGAGTGTGGTGGTGCTTAAAGTTCGTACGACTGGGATGGGCGATCACTCCCGTAGGCATAACCCACAGTGTAGCTGGGACCGATGGAACCTTGTTTTTGCCTGCAGGGTTTTTAATCAGTTGGTGGCTTCGACCGGATCTAGTCTGATGTGGGAATGGGAGACAGCTTGTGTAAAAGGTAGTTACTGAAAGTACGACGTTCTGCTGCGGTTGGAAGTCACGCGTATGCATTTTGACTAAGATCACAGATGGTGATGGTGGTGGTGGTGCTGATGGTGCTGGCTGTGCTGGCCACCTACCGATGTTTTGGGTAGATGGAGGCCCTGGTTAGAAACATGGCATCTACGCAGTGGTCCTTAGGTACAGGTCCTTACGCACAGATCCCTGCTTAGAAAGGATAGGCAGGAAATGAAGTCATTTTTGGCTATTTTAGGCATCTGGTTGAGAAATGGGAGGAAAGAGAGGTCTGGATCATTGGCTTCAGAAGATAACAGTTAAGGCAGTTTTTAGCTTGAAGTTGTCTTGGGATTTTGACGGTGCCGTTTTAATTTGGAACCAAGTTTGCAATGTACTGTATTGGTAGTTCCTTACACTCCGGGAAGGCAAAGCTTAGCTTTTCCACACTGTACCCAAATGCTTCGGCTGTTGCTGACCTGCTAGTTAGAGACAGCAAGTTGATAAAGGTCAGGTGACTGGGAAGGAGTTTCCCTGTGAGTTGAGCCAGACTTTGTGAATTATGATGTCTCGAAGTTGCTAAAGGAAAGTCCTGTGTCTTAATGGTTGGGACATTTCACTTAGTTCTCAGTTTACAGTATAGTAAACCCCTGATGATTTACCAGTGCTGTCATCTTGACAGCTGCTCACGAAGTAAATTCCTTGCACGGTTTCACAGGTGGAGACAACTGAAGCCCGGAGAATTAAGTGATTCCCTAAGTTTACCCAGCTGAAAATCTCTTGTACTGCAGATTTCACCCAGGAAAAAGCTTCGCAACCTGTGCTGGTGACTGGCTGTGTTGCCTACCGTTCAAGATAAATCATTTTGAAAATTAGATTTTTGTAGGAACTGAGATTTTTTTTTTCTTAAAAGGATCATCATCTGACCATTTTTTAAAAAAGTGTCTTTAAATTGTGTCAGTGCCTGTGTGTTGGTGTGTGCTCATGCGCACAGGTGCTTACAGAGGGTAGAAGACAGTGTCGGGTTCTCTGGAGATAGTGGTTGTGAGCCAACCAACATGGTGCTGGGAACCAAACCTGGGTTCTCTGCAAGAGCAGTGAGTGCATGCACTTAGGCATTGAGCCCCTCTCCAGCCCCCTGCATAACATGAGTTCGACAAGGACAATAGACATAAGGAAAGTGGAATGGGAAAGTGAATCCTCTACATAAAGAGCTACAGGCTACTGAGGAATGCCTCAGAGAAGAGCATTCTGATCGGTTATCAAACACCAACTGGTCAGTCTGGAAAACGTACATCAAGTAACATTGTGCAGACTGAGCAAGTTCTCTTTAGGAATATGCATGCATCTGCAGATATGTATGTATCAACAATTAATGAAAAATGTATGACTTTGGAAGATCAGGGAATGGAATGTGGGAGGGTTTGAAGAGGAAAAGGAAGGGGGAATGGTGTCATTTATAATACCAGAAAAGAAAAACTATGAAAATACATATATTTCCTTATGGGCATTCCTTAAATGGGCATGATACCAAAAGAAAGAAAAGGATCTTAGGAAATGTTGGATATTTTGAGGTATTCCACCTTCTATAACAAATAAGCTCCTGTGTACAGGTGGGTAGGGAAGCTCAGTTGGCTGACTTTCCAGTGGTGAAGAGGAGGTGCAGATTGAAATCAGGGCACCATTTCTCCAGACACTCTGTATGGAGCCCTGTATCTTAGGGTGGTAAATGTGTGGGCAGAAGTCCCCTTGCCCTCCCCAGAGAGATTGTCTACATATGACAGGCATGTTGGAAGGGCTGCTTGCATGTTACAAAGCTTCTGAAATTTTCCTAAAGCAGGTGGTTGCTCTAAAGCAGGGAAACTTTTTACAATAAAGTATTAATGTACTTATTTTTCTGGTAACTACAATAACAGTGAAGGATTGGGGGGCTTATAGTTGAGAATGGAAAGCTCTTGTTCAAAGTGAAAGGGAGAAGCCCTGGCAGTTGTTAAAGGCTGGCACTCTGTCCCCCACAGGTATTTTTGATGTGATCTGTTTGTCTTGGAATGTGCTGGACCCCGATCTGTATTGAGCCACATGCTTTTTCGTTTTAAAATACAAGCCTGAGTGGTGATTTGTATCTGTATATGGTTCGGACCCTTCTTAAAATTTTTGTTTCTGTTTTCTGTAGCATTTGTAATGTGACATTCCTTCCTGATGACAGCTGTGGCACAGTGAGGGGAGCTAGTGAGGGGGCGTCCCCTGCTGTCCGCTGAGGAGACTGATGTCCTGTCCTTAGACAGGGTTAAAAAGACTGAGGACTGAGAGGTGGCATCAAATTGCTTTTAAAAAGACAAATAATTTATCACTCTATTACAATGATCACTTAAAAACAAGTCAGAAAAGGTTGAGCCTTATAAGCGCTTTCTTTAGTTGTGAAGTTAATAACCAAAATGTTTACCACTTGAATTTGACTAGTACTTTTTAAAGTTTTTATAGTTTATACTATTAAAAATAATCTAAAAAATATGTTTGTTTAATTTGTGTGTGTGCGCGCGCCCGTGCGTGTTTGTATGTATGTATGTATATACGTATGCGTGCATGTTGGCTTGCACAGGAGAGGTCACAGAGCAGCTTAAGAGAAGCCAGTTTTCTCCTTACCATGTAGTTCCTGGATCTGTCTGGCTTGGCAGCAATCACCTTTCCTCACTAAGCCATTTTGTTGGCTCCAAAACTACTCTGACATTGTTTCAGGTTCCCAGAAGAGTCACAGATATAATACAAAGAAGTCCCTCCCCTGGTCATTGAGATGAAGTTGTCAAATAAGATAGATCATCATCCCAAAACTGTTCTTACAAACAAGAACATTCTATATACCCGTAACAACGTTATCAAAACCAAGAAAGCAATATATTTGTAACCTCAGACTCTTGAACATTGGCTGGCCACTCCAGTAATGCCATTTGTAGAAAAAAAATGAAGATTAGAGTTGCATTGTTTAGTTATCTTTAGGCACCTTTATTCTGGAATACTTCTTAGTTTTTTTCCTTTCGCGAAACTAAATTTTTTTAAAGCCACAGTAATTTTGTTTGTACATCTGTGTGTTTACACAAGTGTGAGTGTATATGTAAGTTAGAGGACAGTTTGCAGGAGTTGGCTCTCTTCTACAGGGGTAGATTCAGGTTGTCTCGCTTGGTGGCCCTCATGGTTTTATTTATATAAAGGTCAAATTATTAACTGCTTTATGTTTGGACAACAGTACACTTTATATTTCAACCAAAAGACAGAAATTGCAGTTTCACTCAAAGGTGCAAGCATTAAATACAGAAAGCGATGACATTTCTCAGGACCTTATTTCTAAGCAGGATCAGGAGCATACAAGTGGTTGCTTTGGCCATATTGTGTGTCCTTTGCTACCACCCCCGCATCCCAAGTTTCCGCCCCCTCCCCAGTGTAAGCCACAGGCTTCTTATGCTCTTGAGGTTCTGGTGGCAATGGTAGACTTACCTGTTCCTTCCTTTTTTTACGCTTCTATTCTTCATGGATTTCTCACACACTCTGATCCCACTTATCCCCCTGCTGTCTCACATCTGCCCTCTGCCGTTGCAACCTCCCCCCAAGTCAAAAACACATTTAAAAGAAAAACCAGACAGAAACAGAAGAATCGTCCTCTTGTTGTGAAAGCTGTCGTGTGGCTCATCGAGACACACAGTACATTCATTTTTTACACGCCAGTCTTCATTGCCTTGAGTCGTCGGTCTGGCTTCTACCACACTGATAATGGCTCTCGTTGGGTTTCCTCTTGGGTGCCCTGCTGTCCTGTGTCGTGGAGACCGTGTACCATTCATTGGTCTGCAGAGGAAATGTGTATGTGCCACTATCACCACAGCAGTACCAGAACGTTTCCAGTTCCCTACAAGTCTCTTTACTTCCTGGCCTCGCGCAGCCATCTACGGATCTGCTGTCCCCTCTGGAGACTTTCTGGACATTTCATGGAACTGGAGTCATGACAAAAGGACTCTCTCATCCAACATCTTTTCACAGAGCATGGTGTTTTTGCATCAGCTCCTTGTTATTGTCAAACAGCATTACTTTCTTGGGACATAACACATTTGCTTACCCTTGCACCATTTGGTGGACACTGAATTGTGTCCGCGTTTCTAAAATTAGCTGCTGCTCTTGCTTTCTTCCCCCAAGCGGTACTGCCCTGTTCTCTGTCTTCATTTATTTTTCGGAGACAGGAGCTCACTATCAGTCCAAGTTGCTTTAGGGTGCCAGGTGGTGGTGTCCCTGTAATGTTACTGTGATGCCATGCTTCTTAACAGACTTCCGTGAAGAGGGATATGTCATGTTTGTAGTTTATATCAGTATGGCTTTGACTTTATATTCTGTGGGGTGTATTCTGTTACTACAGACCACCTCTCGAATACTCTGCAGAGCAGAGTGTTGTAGCAGGTTCTAAGTCTGTGACTTAGAAATGTATACGGACTGGGGACATGGCTCACCCTCTGCTGTGTTAGACTGACAATCAGTGATGACGTGGTAGCTGGGGCCAAAAGTCCGGGAGGTGTGCACTCCGTGTTGAAGGATGTGGACTTCCCATGTGGTTGTCTCTTGGGTTTGTGTGCACAAGCGTGGCTGGATTCCACAAGTATTCTTAAGAGTGAAATGTGCTATTTATGCCACCTAGTCTTGAAGTTCATTTGTATGGCATCGTTTCTGCCATATTTGATCTAGTGCTGGGATTAAAAGCATGTTCCACCGTTGCCCAGCTTTTCATTTTTTGAGGCAGAGCTTTATTTAGTTTAGATTAGCCTCCAACTTGTGATCCACCTGCTTCAGCCTCCCAAGTTTCGTGGTTACAGGCCTGCATTCACAGATGATGTCTGAAAGTTGTCAACAAACACTGTTCCCTAATTATGACCTATCCTTTCTCTCTGGCTGAAGACAACTGCTGTGATCTCCATATAGGTCTGTTCTGTCACTTTATCTGTAAGTGGAATCATAATTACACATAAATTTGTGTCTGGCTTCTCAGCAAAATGTTTCCAAAGTTACAGCATTTACTGGCACTTCTCTTTATGGTCCAGAACATGCCTGTACACAGCTGTCTTATGTGTAGACATTGGAGTTGTTTTTGAATACTTCTTTGAATATCCTTGCCCAACTTTTTGTCTTGGATGGAGCTGTTAGCTCGGGGCATCTCCATGCTTGTTCCCTTGAGGATTCAGACTGCCTTCTGATTGGCTGAGCTGTGTGCCTTACCCTTGGCCCTGCGGTTCAGTTGCGGTTTCCCTGTACCCAGCCAGTACTTTTGCTTTTTACCCTGGTGAAGATGAGCGGTGTCCTTTCCGGCGCTTTGGAAAAGTATGTTTACCTCCCTTGCTCATTTCAATTGAGTTGTATGTGAGTGTTTCATCCTCATGTATGTCTCAGCACCTTATGTGCAGAATAGATAGTTGCCACGTGACTTGACAGAACTGACCCTTAACCATTGAACCATCTCTTCAGCTGTTCTGAGTTTTTTATTCTCGATGTATCAGAAGTGTAATTTGGAAAAATTACCCCCCCCATTTTTATGGGATTTTTGCTGTTTTGATGGTGCCCCAGAGACATTAATTTTGTTAAAGTCTGTTGTGGGTGCTTTTTCTTGCCACATGTGAGCTGTTGCCAAACCCGAAGCCATCAAAGTTTATGCCTAGGTTTTTATCTACGTCTGTAGTTTAGCTTGTGTTTTCATGCTGGGCTTACGATGCAGTGAGGAAGAGTCAAGTTGGGTCATTCTTTTGCGTGGTGGTTGTATAGGTTCCTTAGCATCACTTGCTGCAGTGGTACTGGTGGTGTTTTATTAGCCCTGTTAAAATTGTATTTGTGTGCATTCATGTTAGTTACAGTTCTTTTTTCTTTTTTAAGGAAAATATCAAAAATGTTTCAAATTCCTGTGCAAAATCTTGACAACATCAGAAAGGTACGGAAGAGGGTGAAAGGCATCTTGATGGACATCGGACTCGACAGCTGCAAGGAGCTTCTGAAGGTAGGTGCACAAGTAACAGGTGACACCAGTCAGCTGGAGCTGGCTTTTGGAGATGAAATTGGATTTTCTGATGCTTCCGATGCCTGCATGAAGGCATCCTGAGAACTTGTCTTTCTGAGTGAGCGGTGTGAATGCTTCCAATTGTCCTTCTGGCTTAGGCTTCTGAGTGATGGGGACAGCATTGTGCCACCATGTCTGCTTTAGGAAGGGGCTTGTAGACTGTTTAGTATTCTTAAAAAATTTGGTTTGTTTGGGGTGATGTGCTGAATTACTTGTTTCAGCCAAAGAAGACAAATTTAGTTTCCCAGTGTTACTGTTAGATATATCAAGTGGATTGCAAATTTGCTATGATAAGGTTGATTTTTAGACTGTTATATGAACTAAGTATGTGCAGTCTTCTGAAAGATTCGAAATTAAAGTAATAGTCACAACTTTATTGGTCAGTTTACTTCTCAGTGATTCATTGTAATAACATTGAGACTATGTGGATAGATAGTTCAGGAATTATTAAACAGGAGCCACTGTCTGTTCATAGTCATTGCTTCATTCCAGGCTGTGGAAATAGAGGAAGTGTCTGCTTTTTTTTTTTTTTTTTTTTTTTTTTTTTGAAATGGGTTCTCTGTGTAGTTTTGGCTATCTTGGATCTCACTCTGTAGATGAGGCTGGCCTCGAACTCACAGAGATCCACCTGCCTCTGCCTCCCGAGTGTTGGGACAAAGTGTCTACTTTTACATTTTATAGAAAATTTGGTTCAGAGAACTATGCATACTAGATAACTGTTTAGCCATTGAGCTAAATCTCCAGGCCAGTTTCTTAATATTTGAATTTTTTTTTTTAAATAATTGATAATCTAGTGGTGAACTACTAATAGTTACCAGGGTTTCTAACAGTAACAGTCTATTTTTGGTTTAAAGTAGGTGAGTGATTGTTGAAGAGACCCAGGCAGTTTCTGTCCCTTTCTCAGAGAGATCTGTGGAATTGGTGATGTGTTATTACAGTGGTTTATTGCTTACCTTACATCTCTACTCAGGTTCCATCCTATTATTGTTCTCTTTCAAAGAGAGACACTGCATTTCACCCTTGACGTGTTGGTGTGCTTTGTGGGTTTTGACCCCCATATGCATGTTGTGTAAGTCCCTGTCAAGTCATACAGCAATCCATTCACACCATCAAGCCCTGATCGTCTGTTTCAGGGAACCCTGCCCGGGTACCACTGCTTCCCTCGTCCAGAGTATTTCACTGCGGAGTGTAATGTGCCTCCTGTTAATTTTATGGGAAAGAAAGTTGCTTGCTCTCTGTCTCTGTGGAAGGGCTCTGCATTGTTACATTTGGGTCCTGCCTGCTGCTAGTATTCCATTATGCAAATAAAATGCAGTGTCCCTACTCTTGGTGCTTAGACACCTAGGCTGATTCTGTGGGCTTTTGTTTGTTTGACTGTTTTGAATGCAGTCCTCACGAGTGTTTGTTTGTTTGGGGAGAGGTTCTGGAGATTGAACAGGGCCATGTGCAAATAAACCAAGTTCTCTGCTGCCCTTGCCCTTTCTGGGGATGGGGTGGGGTGGGGTGGGGGAGAGCAGGAGGGTCTTACTCTTTGGCTATGGTTGGCTTGAAACTTGCCCTGGAATTCACAGAGCTCTTCCTTGCTCAGCCTCCAGAATACTGCACTTACCATGCCTCAGTCAGTCCTAACTACTCTTAAAAACTCTCTGTGGGTATCTACTTTGACTTTGGAAAGAAAACTTAGATGTGGAATTATGAGGTTGTTGTATGTGTACTGTTACAGAAATGGCTAACTGTTCCAAGTAGTGGTCTGATTCTGTATTCAATGATTCTGTATTCAAACAGTGCATTGCTCCTAGTCTCAGGAATACGTGGCATGGTTGGTAAATATTTTAGGGCCCTGTTTTTGGTATTGGGGTGTAGCAAGGGCTTTTTGCATGGGCAGGTGTTCTACCCTGGACTGTACTGGACTATACTGATTCCTTTTTGGAGCTGCAAATTTAGCACACTCTGATCGCAGACTCTAAGTCGTCCTGCATCTGCCTCTCAAGTGGAGTGCTAATATTATAGTCATGTGTCACAAAGCTCAGCTTTTACTGGTCCCTTTTGTAAGGCTTGCTTCTTATTTTTGTAGATTCTCGTTATTGGAATACCATGCAGCCAGTAACCTGGTTCTGTGTAGAAAAGGTTTGCTAAACCCTGTTACTTAATGTGATTGATTACTAATCTGATTGGGTTGAAGCCTCGTCTTGAAGCTTGTTTTTAATTACTTGATCTTTCCAAGTTTTCACTATTTTTTTCCTGCCAATTTTTTTGTTTATTTTGGGTGATGACAGGGCTGCCTACAGGCTCTTCTCTAGGAGACTATCTTGCTGCAGATTTTCATTGTGAAGCATTTTATGTTTCTAGTGTTAGGTTTGTAATGCATTATTATTTTTATTTAAAGGAAGGGAAAAGAGAATCACTTGTTTGTGTTTTAACACATTTGCTCCTTCTACTCTGTTTCCTCCCTTCACGTGGGTGGACTTTTCTCATGAGTAAAGCCCTTCTGCCTGCAGGACTTCCTTTATGCTGTAGTGTTGGTTGGATATCTTGGCTGTCTGTACTTTCTCCCTGAACTTTTATCTATGGTAGGTAGACTTTGAGATGGTCTTACTGTGTCCCTGGCTGGCATGGAGCTTACTGTGTAGATGAGACTGGCCTCGTGTTCGTAGAAATCTGCCTACTTTGGCCTCTGGAGTGCCAGGATTAAAGGTCTGCACCGCCAGTGCCTGGCCTAGCTAGACATTTTTGTTACAAAATTTTAGTGTCCTTTTTCTGAAAATTTTGCTCTGCTCCTTTTCCAGCAATGAAATTCTGATGTGTGGTAGTGTGGTCTCACTTGTCTGACTGGGTCTGCTCAGTTTCTTGAACTGGATTATATAATGCAATGGTTCTCAACCTTCCTAATGCTATGACCTTTTACTACAGTTGCTCACGTTGTGAAAACCCCAACCATAAAACTATTTTTGTTCCTACTTCATAACTGTGATTTTGTTTTTGTCATGGATTATAACATAAACAGCTGATATGCAGATGGCCTTAGGTGACTCATGTGAAAGGAGGGTTTGACTCCAAAGGTATTGGGACCCACAGGTTGAGAACCCCTGGTTCACATACACTGGCTTTGGCGGATGTAGTGACTTCATGTCTCTGATGCTTATTCTCTGCTGTCTGTTCCTGAGACTCCATTTTCAGAGCTCTTTGGGTTTCTGCAGTTCCTCTCTGGTTGCATCAAGGTTCCCAGGCCAAGCTGGGTGTGATGGCTCATGCCTGCAACCCTAGCACTTGGACTTGGGAGGCTTAGGCATGGGATTGTTTGAGGCCAGCCTAGGCTACCTAGTGAGAGCCACTCTCTAAATAAATACATGTGCCAGGCTTTTCCTGTGTAGCTTCAAATCTGCTCTTAATTCCATACAGGTTATTTTCATGCAAGGTAGTCCATCTTTCTTTGTCTTCGTGATTGAACTCAGGGCTTCACACATGCTAGATAATCACACTGCCACAGAGCTGCAGCCTAAACCCCTGCAGGGCATGTTTTTTTTTTTTTTAAATAAAAATGTCCTAAGAATTCTTTGTAATGCCTTATTTTACTTTTTATTTGTTAAAAGTTAAAATGATCAGCTAGGCGGTGGTGGTGCACACCTTTAATCACAGCACTTGAAAAGCAGAGTCAGGCAAATTTTTGAGTTCAAGACTAGCCTGGTCTACAGATAGAGTTCTAAGACAGCCAGGCCTACACAGAAACCCTGGTCTTGAAAAACCAAAAACAACCCCTCCCCAAAAAAATCACCCCCCCTTCCAAACAAAAACAAATTAAAAAGATAATAGATATGAATGTTTTGCCTATATTAGTATCTGTGTCACTTTCATACCTGTTACTCAGGAGGCTAGATAGGGCATCAGAACCTCAGGATAGGGCATCAGAACCTTAGGATAGGACATCAGAACCTCAGGAACCTCAGGATAGGGCATCAGAACCTCAGGAAAGGGCATCAGAACCTCAGGAACCTCAGGATAGGGCATCAGAACCTCAGGATAGGGCATCAGAACCTTAGGATAGGGCATCAGAACCTCAGGAACCTCAGGATAGGGCATCAGAACCTCAGGAAAGGGCATCAGAACCTCAGGAACCTCAGGATAGGGCATCAGAACCTCAGGAACCTCAGGATAGGGCATCAGAACCTCAGGAACCTCAGGATAGGGCATCAGAACCTCAGGAAAGGGCATCAGAACCTCAGGAACCTCAGGATAGGGCATCAGAACCTCAGGAACCTCAGGATAGGGCATCAGAACCTCAGGAACCTCAGGATAGGGCATCAGAGCCTCAGGAACCTCAGGATAGGGCATCAGAACCTCAGGAACCTCAGGATAGGGCATCAGAACCTCAGGAACCTCAGGATAGGGCACCAGAGCCTCAGGAACTAGATTTACAGGCAGCGGTGAGCCACCATGTGGGTGCTGGGAATTGACCTGGGCTCTCTGGCAGATCATTAGTGCTGTTGATCACTGAACCTTTTCCCCAGCCCTCTTTTCTTTTGTAGAGTTTGTTTTATTACCGTATGTGTATGTGGAAGTCGGAGGACTTTGGGGACGGTTTTCTCCTTTTCCTTTCCCCCCCTCTTTATTGTGTATTTTTTTAGAGTTTTAAATTGTACTTGTCTTGAATCTTTTGCCTATATGTGTGTGTGTGTACCATGTGTATACATGTTGCCTGCAGAGCTCAGAAGAGGGCATTGGATCCCCTGGAGCTGAAGCCACTAATGAGTGCTGGGAATTGAACTCTGGTCCTTTGTAAGAGCAACAACTGCTCTTAACTGCTGAGCCATCTCTTCTGCCCCCCTTTTAATATTTATTTTTATTACATGTGTATGAGTATTTTGCATGTCTGTCTGTAAACCATTTGTGTGCCCGGTCCATTTAGGCCAGAATTCTGAGTGTGTTGGATTTGTCAGTACTGGAGTTGTAGGCAGTTGTCAGCTGCCTTGTTTTGAACTGAACCTGGGTCCTCTGGGAGAGCAGCAAGTCCTCTTACCCACTGAGTCATCTCTCCAGCCCTCTCGTTTCACCTGGGCGTGCTCAGCCGTCTGACAGCTTGTGTCACCTGTCATTGCTTGTGCTCCTGGTTTGGGGTAATACTTTACTGCTGTTTGGGTAACTGAAATGTTTTGACTAGATACTGAGCATTATGAGTTTTATGGTTGCTGGATTTTGTGGTCTCTTTTTATGCTGGCTAGTTTTATAGCAACCTGACACAAGCTAGAGTCATTTGAAAGGAGGGAGCCTCAGTTGAGGAAATGGCCTCCATAAGACTCAGCTATAGGGCATTTTCTTATTAGTGATTGATAGGAAGGGGCCCAGCCCCTTGTGGGTGGTGCCATTTCTGGTCTGGTGATCCTGGGTTCTATAAGAAAGCAGGCTGAGCAGGCCATGAGGCAGGGTACTGGCATTGGTGTAGGTAAAGGCAGTTGTATTAATTACCATTGGTCTGAGTCAGCTAATTCTTACTTGATTATTAAAGGTAACCTTTGATAAGTATTGTAAACTGTAACTGTTATAAAATGCAGGAGATTGTTGTATAGAAAGTGAAATTTAAGTGCCACATTCAGAGAGGTTGGCTTACAGTGCTCTGTTGAGATCCTTGTCTCTGTGTATGTATGTAGGGTTTGCATACAGGTGTATTCCCCGTGCTTGTACTGCGTGGTGACTTTGCTGGCTTTTTGGTTAACTTTGTCTTGTCCTATGAAGTACTTTCTTTACTAACTGGCCTATGTTCAGGGCTCCCAAGTGTTGCTGGTGACAGGCTCATCTGGTCCTTAGTGACCACAGAGGTTGTCCATCCTGAAATGTCACCTTTCAAAGTAACCAGTGACCTTTCCAGATGGTGAGTCATGACACTCCTTTTCCTCAGGCTCTCCTGAGCCCAACGTTGGCCTTCCCATTTGTTGTAGATTCTGTTCTCTGTGTTTTGATGCCAAAAGGTTGCAGCTTACAGGTGGTTCTGTTGCTCAGCAGTTTAGAGCACTGGCTGTTCTTCTAGAGGACCCAGGTTCGATCTCCAGCATCCATCTAGTGGCTTATGACCATCTTTAACTTTAGTTCCAGGGGATCTTAAGTCCTCTTCTGGCCTCTGGGTACTAGGCATGCATGTGATACACAGACATGCAGGCAGAACACCTACACATAAAGTAAAACTAAAGAAAAAAGAAGAAAAAGACTTCTGTCTTAGAGAAAGAAAACATTAGGTATGTTCTATGCCCTAAAAGGTGATCATGGGAAAGATAGAAACACATTCTTTTTTATGTTCCACAAGCAGATTGAATAGTGGTAAAGTCCTATTGGAAAAGGACTGTTGAGTGTAGATGTTGCTTTTTCTCTTTGACTTACAGTATATGTGTTCACAAAACTACACGAGTTTTAGAATCTTTATGTACACTTAGGCCTTGCTTACATGTCCAAAATGTCCATAACATTTTATTTTGGGAGATCTCTGTTTATTTCTTGTCAAATGTAGTTATAATGTGATTTAAACCTTTTTGACACTCATTACTTTAATTGTAAACATGTGTCAATGACTGTCCTTCTACTTTTCTTTGCCCATAAAGGGGTTTCAGGTGGCAGATTACTTGCTCATGGACTTAATTTTGGTAGGAGGGGATTATGCTTAGGGCCTTAGACAAATGAGTCTCATAGTCTAACCTTTTACCTTTTTAGTTTTGCAACAAGGTGTTAAGTTGCCCAGACTAACTTTGAACTTCGAAATCCTTCTGCTTCAGCCTCCTTAGTAGTTAGGGTTAGAGGCGTGCACCATCACTTCTAGTTTTAAATTTAATATTTCTGTAAGTCACAAATTGTCACATAATGATTTTTCTTTCTTCTTTTTTCTTAAGGATCTTAAAGGCTTTGATCCAGGAGAGAAGTACTTTTATAATACATCATGGGGAGATGTTTCTCTTTGGGAACCTTCTGGAAAGAAAGCGGTATGTATTTTTGTAATGTGTTTTCATTAGGGGCAAGTGAACTAAGGCTGAGGCCACACACCATGGCTACCAGGGCTGCTCGCCCTATCTGTTCATGAGGCAGGAAAGATGCAGAGCTCAGAATTGCTCATTGCAGGACTGTTGATGATGACAGTTTCCACGTGCACAGTGTGGTGACATAGCCAAGCTTTGTGACTAGAAGTGACTGTTTAAGAACCCTTGATTTAGTAATTCTGAATAAATGCTGTGACATCAAGTTAGTAGGAGACTATATGTACAAAGGTGATTATTTGAGATTATAATAGAACTGAAAATACCTGTTGTCTAGGTCATTGTGTGATGCATTGTATTTTTGTGATAATACTCATCCTATAAGCCTGCCTAAGATTACATAGAGAAGTGTACTGCAAAGCTGGGCAGTGGTGGTTCACGCCTTTAATTCCAGTACTTGGAGGCAGAGGCAGGTGGATCTTTGTGAGTTCAAGTCTAACCTGGTCTACAGAGTGAATTCCTGGACAATCAGGACTTATACAGAGAAACCCTGTCTCAATACCACTCCCCCAAGTATACTGTGTACAGTTAAATGTAGTGAATAGTACTTGATAATGCCTGTTACTGGTTAATGGAGGCATGCATTGCTACAGGATGGGGATGGGATCTTAGAATTGTATCATCAGGTGTTTTCATTATTGTTACAATAAGCCATATTCAGATAAAGTGTGCCTACTCAAATGTTCACAGTGCCTACTCAAATGTTCACAGTATAGCGTACATACATTCCAGCTATAGACATGTACAGCATGCTACTATACTGAACATATGACAGGTAGTAACACAGTGGTAATTTTTTGAGTATATTTACTCAGAGAAAAGAGGTACTGTGGAGATAATATATATACTTTTTTAAAAGTTCATAAGTATGTAGGATTGAGCTTGTGGGCCCCTCTGGTTGTTATGGGTGAGGCCGTGGATGTAGCTAATGACTGCTACCAGCTCTAATGTTGCATATTTAGGTTACATTCATTTATATCTAAAAAATCCCTTGCAGGGTGGTGGTGACGCACACCTTTAATCCCAGCACCAGGAAGGCAGGTGGGTCTCAGTACATTTGAGGCCAGCCTGGTCTACACAGTGACTTCCAGGACAACTAGGGCTGTTAACACAGAGAAACCCTGTCTGAAAAAATAAAAACAACAAAATCTTTAATTAACCTTAGTTTAATATTTCACTTTATAAGTTAAATCTTTTTAACTTTTGGGGGGGAAAATGGATTGAAAATTACAAGTATTGTATATCTGCATGAAAATAGTCTTTCCTTATACCTTTATTTTGTATACTTTACTTACTTATTATTCTTGTGTTTATTTTCAAGTTGTTTTGTTAAAAGCTATGATGCGCACAGGAGCTCTCTGTCTCTCTCCCTCTTTACACACACACACACTCTCTCTCTATACATATACACACACTCTTTACACTCTTTACACAGACACACACATACACTCTCTGTACGTATACACACACTCTCTCTTTTTACACACTCACACTCCCACCTAGGCCTGTTGAGATTGCGATCAGGACTGACACCTACTTCACACCCCATCCTAGTGGAGGGCTTTGTGGCAATGATGTGAGGAACTGTTCCTTCTGATGAGCTGCGTCCTCCAGGGCACCAGAGTGAGCATCTGGCATGTTGTGGGGCTGTTGCTCTCCCTGGGACACACGGTGTGCCTGGTCTGCTCCTCTTTCTCAGCCCGCATGTGCTCATGTGCCTTTGGGTCCATGTTGTCAGTAGTTGTGAGGAACCTTTGGAAGTCTACAGACTCCTCGGCTAACCCCTCACTGTGATTTCTTGGTGCTTTCTTCTCATTCAGTTTTTGTTTGTCTTGCCTCTTCTAGCTGTGCTAGAAGACTACACTCTGACCTACATCCCTAGACAACAGGTATTTTCAGTTCCATTGTAATCTCATGCCTTTGTACATGCAGCCTCCCACTGACTGGAATGTCCTTATGATGTGTGAATAAACGCTTGATGTCGTTACAGCATTTATTCAGAATGACAAAATCAAGGGTTCCTATACAGTCGCTTCTAATCCCAGACAAAGCTCTGCTATGTCACCACACTAGAAAGAGGCAAGGGGAACAATGTCAGAGGGGCCCTTTAGTTCTTAAAGTTGTATGCATTTGTGGCCCATCACTGACCTAGGCATTTCTAAGTGGCACATGACTGTATTTACCAGTCTGTTCTGACGTAGAAAATACAGGTTTACTGTAAATCTGTGCCCTTAGGACAGCAGCTTCATCTGTCTTATCTTACACTGTCAGTTGAAGCCTTTCAGCTTTTCCTTACGCATGTTTTGTTCACCATAGCCCCTATACATACGTAAAGACATTGCTACGATTGCCATTAAGAGGCCTGGAAGCAAAATAAAATGAATTAAGTCCTATGAAGATGGCAAATGGTAATAGTTACTGCTAACCAGTCAGGCATGTCTCAGCTGGACCCTGTGATGGTGCTGTCTTCAGGAGTCCATGCAGTAAAGTTGGAAAGATGGAAGACTAGCAGGCATCTATGCAAGTATGACACACAGATCAGTCATGAAACAGTTCATATTTTATAAGTAACATCAGACTCAAACACATACTGAATATTTTCTTTCATATATTGGATCATGTTTTAAACGTTTTAAAGAGGATCTGAATTAGAAGCAGGACATATTTGGGTAAGGGGCAGCAGTTTTGATGCAGAAGGTGTTCAGTAGGTGTCAAGAGCAGGAAGAAGGGGTTAGAGACTGCAGGGGATGATGAGACCAGGTACTTTCTTTCCACGTACGTTAACTTTTTTAAAAGCACAGTGGAAGTTGTTAGAGGATTGTATCATGGAAGTCAGTGAGATTCCCAAAGATCCAAGAAGGCCCTGATCAGAAACCTCTCTCTTGGCACCATGGCAGTCACAGCTGAACAAGTTTCTTTGTGATGTTTACAAAAGGCTGGATCATCTGGGTGTGATGCAGAAACACACCTGTAATTCTAGCATGCAGATGGTAGAAGCAGGGACATCAAGGGGTGAGTGCATCTGGACTGTATGAGACCCTGCCTCAAAAAACAAAAGCAGCAAAACAACCCGTCCCCACAGCAAAGTGGGAGTGAGACGTCTATAAGAACTGGTATAAAGGCACGGGAACATTGTTTGGGCTCTGTGTGAAGGAAAATTTTTTGCCAGAGCAAATCTTAAGTATAGGGACCCTCCCATGATGGCACCTGTGTGCCAGCTGCTGAAGATCCATGCTGGCACTGAGCTTAGGCATTGCCACACTGGTATGCATCCTCCTGCACCCTGTGTCTGTAGGCTCGGATGCAGCTGTGAGACAGATGGATGGCCCACTGGAGTTTCCAGCCTGACCAGGAGCCCCAGCACAGGAACCTCTTCCAGCCAATACCAACTAGCCCGTGGGCAGAGGGCCCCCTGCAGTTATATTTGATGAAGATGTTGGCCTTCATCATGCATCTTGTGATGCATTTTTGGTTTAGAAGACAAACATGGAAAAGAAAACGTGGTTAATACCACATTGTGTGAACAAATTATTGCTGGTTTGGATGTGGAACTGGAATTGGAGTTGCTGGTGTTCCTGCTCTTGGTACAGTCTAGTTTGCAGGTTATGTTTTTTCTGCTCTTGACTGGGTAGAAGAAAGCCATCAAGTACCACTGTAGCTCCAGGGATCTCTGAGCTGTGTGAGCCTGTGTTGGACATGGGGCTCTACCATTCTGAGTTCTGAAACTTACTTTTTGTGCATTGCCTAGTAATTAATGCAAAATCCAGAATCTCTTCCTAGGCTTAGCAATTTCTTTTGTTACACATAGAGTGTAGAAATCTATTTTTGTTTGTTTAAGCTAAAATACTAAATTTCTAGGGCGGCAGCAGAGCGAGGTTCTCAGAACTATACAAGATCCCAGTGTTATGACTTACGTTGTCCAGAAAGGGAGCAATGTCAGTTTGGTTTCCTAAGAGGAGGGGCATTCAGGTTAAAATGATCTGGGAGGTGGCTTCTGTGACCTGAAGCTGGGAGGGTTGTATAAAATAACTTACTTGAGGGCTATCTTACCTTGCAGTGTGGATTCCGTTTTCTCATCGAGAATGGGATGGGTGTTGGGGGCAGAGTGGGGGTTGGGAGGTTCTGCTGGTCAAGCATGAGGCCCTCTTTTCCTGGGACATCCACAGTTGAAGGACAATGTTGAAACCAGGCTCGTATATCCAAGAGTATGTGAATGCCACATTCCATCTCCATAGGCCCTGGACAAACAAAAGCACTGTGGTGTCTTCAGAAATGATCAGCTGTTAGCCACAGAAAACCAGGAGGATTTTGTCTAGGTCAGGAAATAGTTTTCTGAATATTTAAAAAAAATAGTCCCTCTTTTGAGAGAACTAAAAATATTTCTCTTGAGAGTATGTTCTTGTTTAAAACCTTTTTTTTTTGTTTGTTTGTATACGTGTGTGTGGGCAAGTCTGGGGACAGCTTGGAAATCCGCTCTTTCCTGACCCTGTGGAATGTAAGGGATGAACTTGGGTCGTCAGGTTTGGCAGCAAGTCTTTCCCCACTGAGTCATCCTGCAGCCTGAGAATAGTCTTCATGAAATGACCCCAATGACCCCTTTCTGATACTGGCTGGAGAGCTAGCTGCAAGTAATTATTATAGTAATAGGAACAGGTTGATTTGCATTGAGTATTTTGATATAATTTATAAGTAGTGTCCCATTTGGATGTCCATTGTAAATTGTTTGAGATTTGTAAATACTGCATGTGGTCACATTGCTTCAGAGAGATACTTCTCTGTGGAAGTAGATGTCTGAATGGATTGTCATTGGTAGCTAGCCAAGTTAGTGCCAGGTTCAAACTGTTTGCAGATGGGCTGGGGAGATGGCTTATTGGGAAAGGGAATGTAAGACCCAAGTTTGGATCCTTAGTACTGACATAAAAGCCAGGTGTGGCTATGTGCAGGTTTGCAATCCCAGTGCTGTGGAGGGACAAGAGGATCATTAGGCCTTGCTGAACACCAGTCTGGCTTCAGGATCACTGAGACAGAGAATGACAGGACACCCAACAGCCTCCTGAGGCCATCTGTGCACACACACGAGTGTATTATGTACCTGCACACATACAGAGAGAGTTTGAGGACGAAGCTGTCCCAGGAGCAACAGTGCAAAGTACAGCTTGTGCACATTTGATCTGGCAGTGAAAACCCAGTGCTTTCTGGTGCATCATAACTATAGGGATGCTAGAGTAAGAAGAAAGGCAGCACCCAGCTCCTTTTCTAGCGTTAGCATGCCTCCTTGAGTTGCTGGGCCAGCAAATACAGTAGTACTGTGGGAGAATCAATATACTTCTCCAATTTACCTTATTTACATTGTTTACTGATAGCCTTATTTTAATAATCTTCATTCCAATATTTCTGCATCTTCCTGTCCCTCTGCTCTGTCCCTTATACACACACACACACACACACACACACACACGATTGCAAGATAAATCACAATAGTCTCAAGGGATCTTGTCTGTAACTAAGGAGCAAGTATTTGAACTATTAATTTTTTATTTTTTTTTTTTAAGAAAGGGTTTTTCTTTGTAGCCTTCACTGTCTGTAACTAGCTCTATAAACTTTGAACTCAGGGAGATCTGCCTGCCTCTGCCTCTCAAATTTTGGGATTAAAGGCATGCGCCACCACCTCAAAAAAAAACTAAATATTTTAAAAAAGAAACATTTCTGCCAAGTGGTGGTAGTGCACACCTTTAATCCCAGCACTTGTGAGGCAGAGGCCGGGGCAGGAGAATCTCTGTGGGCTCAAGGCCAGCCTGGTGTACAAAGTTCCAGGGCAGCCAGAGCTGTTACACAGAGAAACCCGGCCTTGGGGGACGGAGGGAACAAAAGAATGCTGAGCACTGATGTAAGCACTCATGAATGTAGTTTTGTTGGGGCTCAGCCCTGTGTAGAAACTGCTTTTTCCTCGTGAGTCTTCTGTGGTGGCAAAGCGAGGCCAAGGGTACTGCATACGTGGCTACCCCAGCGAACGCATCAGCTGGGGATGCACGGTGCCCCTTGGAGTTAGGATGTTAGTAGGGAAGCACACGGGTGGGGAGGGCAGGAGGAAACCTCTGAGCTCGTTACTCTGCCTAAGTCTCTCTCCTCTTTTGACAGAGATACCGAACAAAGCCGTACTGCTGTAGTCTCTGTAGGTACTCAACAAAGGTGCTCACCTCCCTGAAAAACCACCTCCATCGATCCCACGAAGATGAGGCCGACCAGGAGCTGATGATCCCCTGCCCCAACTGCCCATTTGCTGCCCAGCCCAGGGTGGTGGGCAAGCACTTCAGGGTGTTCCACGCACCCGCACGGAGACTCCAGAGCTACACCGTGAACATTCTGGGTGAGGCGAAGACGCCAAGGAGTGACGTGATAAGCTTCACGTGTTTAAAGTGTAACTTCTCCAACACCCTGTACTACAGCATGAAGAAGCATGTGCTGGTGGCACACTTTCATTACTTAATTAACTCCTACTTTGGTTTTCGAACTGAGGAAGCAGAGCAGCTGAAAGCAAGTGGCCCTGCTTGCGTGGATAAGGCCCTGACATTTGACAGGTACTACTGTAAAAAATGCAGCGCCATTGCCAGCAGTCAGGACGCCCTGATGTATCACATTTTGACGTCAGACGCCCATAGGGACCTGGAGAATAAGCTGCGGTCTGTGATTTCAGAGCACATCAAGAGGACTGGGTTTCTGAAGCAAATGCATATTGCTCCAAAACCAGTGACCCGCTTGGCCTTACCGCCAAACAGCAGCGCCCCGAGCATCGCAGCCTCTTCACCTTGCTTCCATCTTGCTCTGCCACAGAACAGTCAAAGCCCTGGCACTGTGCAGCCGGTGACGGTGGCCCCAGGCACCTCCGGAAGCCTTACACACTCCCCACCCACCACTGCCCAGTCCCATGTAGCCCTGGTGTCCAGCGCTCTGCCTGTGTGCCAGAGTAGCCTCACCCTGCAGCCGCCAGCTCCCTCACCCGTCTTTCTCCCTCACAGGGTCCCGCTTACTCAGCCTGTGAGTACTTCTGTGCTGCCTCTCACTCAGCCAGCCGGGCCTGTGACTAAGTCTGTTGGGACAAGCATCCTTCCTCTGAATCAAGCTGTCCGTCCTGGAGCTTTACCCCTCACTCCGTCTGTGGGGCCCGTAAACAGACCCGCTGGGCCTGGTGTCTTGCCTGTGAGTCCCTCTGCCAACTCGGGAGCCCTGCAGTCTGCTGCTTCAGGGGTGGCTCCCGTAGGCCGGGCAGTTCCGACAGGGGTCCTTCCTGCAGGCCAGGCGACTCCTGCAGGAGTGATCCCTGCGCAGACAGCCGCTTCTGGTGTCCTACCCGCTGGTCAGGTGGTCCAGTCATCAGTCCTTCCTGCTGGCCAGACAGTGCCCTTGAGGGTTCTCCCTGCAGGCCAGGTGCTACCACCTGGGATGCTTTCCTCAAACCAGACTGTCTCCTCAGCTGTGGTCCCTGTGAATCAGGGCGTGAGCTCTGGTGTTGTTCAGCTCAGTCAGCCGGTAACACCAGGAGTCCTTCCTGTGGGCCCGCCCGTGAGGCCTGGGGTACTGCAGCTCAGCCCGTCTGTCAGCACCAGCATCCTGCCTGTGAGCCAGGCAGTGAGAGCTGGAGCCTCACAGAACACTACTTTCCTCACTTCAGGCTCTATTCTCAGACAGCTCATCCCAACTGGGAAGCAGGTGAATGGAATCCCCACCTACACCCTGGCCCCAGTGTCTGTCACGTTGCCTGTGTCCTCTGGTGGGGGCCTTGCAGCGCTGCCACCGCCATCCCAGGTGCCCGTGCAATTCCTGCCCTCCAGCTCGGGCACACACATGACTGGCTCCTTGTCGAGCCTGCCCTCCCCACAGGTGCTGGTGAGCCCTGCCCCTAGTGTGTTTGTTCAGGCTACCTCGCCTGTGGCGGACGCAAACCAGGCGCTCAGACAGGCCAAGCAGTGGAAAACGTGCCCGGTTTGCAATGAGCTCTTCCCTTCCAACGTCTACCAGGTTCACATGGAGGTGGCTCACAAGCAGGCTGAGTCTCAGCTCTGCCAGCTTTGCAATGAGCCCTTTCCTGCTAACGTCTACCAGGTTCACATGGAGGTGGCTCACAGGCAGAGTGAGACCAAGTCTGGTGAGAAACCTGAACCTGAAAAGCTTGCTGCGTGTGCCCCGTTTCTCAAGTGGATGAGGGAGAAGACGGTGCGCTGCCTCTCTTGTAAGTGCCTGGTCTCGCAGGAGGAGCTGATGCACCATCTGCTCATGCATGGCTTGGGCTGCCTGTTTTGTCCCTGCACTTTTCACGATGTCCGGGGCCTCGTGGAGCACAGCAGGACTAAGCACCTGGGCAAGAAGAGGCTGTCTATGGACTACAGTAACAGAGGCTTCCAGCTGGACCTGGATGCCGATGGCAACCTGCTGTTCCCCCATCTGGATTTCATCACCATTCTGCCACGAGAGAAGCTCGGAGAGCGAGAGGTATACCTGGCTATCCTTGCTGGAATACACTCCAAGTCACTGGTGCCCGTGTACGTTAAGGTGAGGCCTCAGCCCGAGGTTTCACCAAAGGTGCCGAGCAAACAGAAGCTGACCTGCCCCTTTTGTTTTGGCACATTTTTGACCGCTGATGCCTATGAGCTGCATCTCAAGGAGAGGCACCACGTCATGCCCACCGTTCATACAATGCTCAGGTCTCCGGCCTTTAAGTGCATCCACTGCTGTGGGGTGTACACTGGAAACATGACCTTAGGAGCCATCGCTGTCCATTTGCTCCGCTGTCGAAGTGCTCCCAAGGACAGCAGCTCAGATGTGCAGGTCCAGCCAGGTTTCATTGAGAGCAGCGAACTTCTGCTGGTTAACGGGGAAGTGATCCCTGACTCCACCTTTGCTGTGAAGAGAAAGCTATCAGAAGGCCACCCGGGGACAGAGGACCAGAGGGATGGGGACAAGCCCCAGCTCACTCTAGACACTGTTGCAGTCCCCGGGCCAGAGAGAGGGCCGAGTGCTGTGCCTTTGAAGAGGCAGAGGAATGAAAACAGGGCCGAGGGGCCAGGGGCCAGTGACGACTCTCTGCAGCTGCTAGCATTGGATCCCACCAAGTACGGAAGCCGCTCCTATGAGGACAAAAAGCAGTTTCTCAGAGACTATTTCCACAAGCGGCCATACCCTAGCAGGAAAGAAGTGGAGCTACTGTCTTCACTCTTGTGGGTGTGGAAGATCGACGTGGCTTCATTTTTTGGGAAAAGGAGGTATATTTGCATGAAAGCAATAAAAACTCATAAGCCCTCTGTACTTCTAGGGTTTGATATGTCTGAACTAAAAAATGTCAAACATAGACTGAACTTTGAGTGTGACTCACAACCTGTAGAAGACGAGGTCTGAAGTCTGGATGACTTTGGATGCGCCCTGGCATTGTTCTGAGTGTCTGAGCCCTTCGAGGTGCTCCAGGCGCTCAGAAAGCCCGAGAAGGAAGCACACCCCCTGCCCTGGCACACATGGACTGAGTTTCCCCCTCTGTCGTCTATATTAAATCTCTGGTGTTCCATGCACGCCTTGTTTTCCCGGGAGTGGCAGTCTCAACAGTAACCACCTGGAATCTACACACACTTGCTTTTCATTTTAGGAAACTTCTGCTTGTTTGAGAATACTTGTTTAGTAGAAAATGAAAGCATTGCTCAGCTTCAGTCGACAGACAGCAGCTATGTCCATGCCCAGAGAAGTAAGCCTAGTCTGTGGGCCCCGAGGACATACTTGTGAGCGTTACCCTCTCCTGATGCTGACAATGCTGTCTGCTTAAGGGTACACATTTGATTCACATCTTTTAGGTTTTCCCAGACAGCTATTTTTTTTTTTTAAATATCGTAATTCTTAAAAAAACCAAATGTTCTCATTTATTAAAAATATCCTGAGCCGAAGGTCTGGTGTGTAGTGAATAATCAAGTGTTGCTTTATAAATAAAGTCTCTGCAGGAACAGACGCGCTCTACGGTGCAGACTGTCTTGTGCTGTGATGGCCAGTCCTTCCCCATTGAAAGGTGAGACGAGTCTTTAGTGCCTTTAGAATAACTGAGAACACCTGGATGCCTCCTTCCTCGGGAACTGCTGGTAAACTAGTAGGAAGGAGGGACCACGACACACGTAGGGTTCCTGTAATTGCATATAGACACACAACTAATGCAGGCGGATTTCTGAGTTGTAGTCAAGTCTGTTCTATATAGTGAGGCCCCATCTCAAAAACATCAAAAGAAAAAGAAGGAAGCTGGGCACGGCTGTTCACGCCTTTAATCCCAGCACCCAGGAGGCAGAGGCAGGTGGATCTCTGTGAGTTCGAGGCCAGCCTGGTCTACACAGTGAGTTCCAGGACAGCTTGAGGTGGAGTGCAGGTTTCAGGCATACGTTGACCCTGGACCAAGAACTCTCTCTGATTAGAATAGCGTGGGCTAGGTGTGTTAGAGTTGGAGAAACAGGCTTCCCTCAGGTGCAGGTGTTGAGATGAATGGCATGGTGGACTGATGAATCTTCACTGTCCTGTGGATGCCAATTTTTTTTTTTAAACATGATATGAAATAATGTAAAGCTCCAGAGCTGGTAATGAGGACCAGCCAGCTCTGTTCAAAATCATCCCTGAGTGATGCACACACAGCAAGTAGAGGGGACGATGGCCTCTGGGAAGCACTGCAATGTTTTATATACATATATCCAACTATATACATATATATAGTTTTTAAAATATAATATGTGCATGTAATTGCTCTAATGTTCATTTCGAGGCAGGTGTCTGTGATGATGGTGTACTGTTGTAAATTCAGAGCTTGTTGGGCTATTTTTTTTTATTATTTCCAGAGTGTCTATTTTGAATTAAAATTTGTTAAACCACTGAAAATAGAACTGTTTGATTTTAGTGACATTAATAAAGCTTACTCTCCTCGGGCAGGGTGGGGCATTCTTGTCCCAGCCACTCAAGCAGGGCCCTTGTGTGCTGACTGCTGTGTTACCATAACACTCCGAGTGTCACCCTGTAAGCCTTACCGTACCCTTGACGCGGATGTCCCTCTGCAGCTTGCGCCTTACAGAGCAGAAGCTAAGGCTCATGTGAGCAACTTAACTGTGCTAGGACCACACTAAGTCTGGGTGGGTACCCAAAATTAATGGAGAGTGAAAGGAAGCCCTGGTCAAGTTAGGACAGCAAGACAGAGAAGGCTGTTCATAATGATGCCAGTCACAACTCAGTCCCGGCTGAACATTGCTACTTAAAAGCTCCCACCAGTGCAGTGCTGCTAGAATGGACCACTGTCCAATTCAATCTTACCCTTTCATTCTGTCTTTGTGCTTGCCTTTCCTTGCCTTTTCCTGCTGGCCTGTGCTGCTGACCATATGGCTCTCCTTTTAAGCCTCAGCCCCTAAGGAGAAACACAAGCTGACCCACCAGCTTCTAAACTAACTCCCGATAACTGTCCTGACTATTATCTGTATTAAATACGAGCTTAAACATCCACAAATGCTAAAGGATCTAATTTGAAAATGAAGTTTGTTTATTTAAAAAAAAAAAAAAGTCTCACTGAGTAGCCCAGGCTAGCCTTAAATTCGCGGAGATCCTGGCCGTGCAGCTTGACTGCTGGGATTCTGACTTGTGCCACCACAACAGCTTATAAAAGGTCACTTTTTAAGAAAGTAGGGAGTTTTGCCCCGAAGATAATTTTTGCTTATTTTTGAAAGCTAAGTTTGTCTAGTTTCAAATGACAAGAGTAAATGCATTTGTCACATGACGATATACATGACCAGGACATATGGCCAGGGCTTTGAAGTGTACTTAGGGAACATCAAGTTAGCCACTGCCGATACCCTTACTCTGGGACCAAGCTCGAAAAGCCGGGGTGGGTAGAAAGGCAGCTGAGGCTCCCGCTGCAGTAATTGTAAGGCCAGTTTTCTGGCTAAGCCAAATTTACCTGCTAGAAATGTACAGCTTTATCCTGAACTTGCTGCAGGGACAGTGGTTTTGTGGTGTAATCTACTTCACTGCTGAGCGTTATTTGTAGAGCTGAACAGCATACACCTCTGAAATACCCAGCATGTACATTTCCTAGCCACACGCTTGCTGCTTGTATCAGTTTGTGAGAGTCTACATAATATTAATATTCCATAGTCACTTGTCTTCATTATATAAGGGAAGGGTTGAGATAAAATGCCATGTAGTCAGTGGTAGGGTGCTCGATTAGCATGCGGGACGTCTTGAGTTCAATTCCTAAGCACAGCCAAGAGTGAACAGGTGAGGCAATAAAGGTAGATAATGTTGCTTATTAAATTGTTCCTATGGTTCCGGGTCGGGTGTAAAATAATGGACAGTAGACATTGGGGTCTGTTCCGTTACAAAGCTGGACAGCTATGGAGGGAGGTTCCTCTGTAATCTAAAGTGAGTTCTATTACAGCATTCTTGCATGTATCTTTAGCTACACATTATTGTTCAAATACAGCACATTGTGTTCCTAGGAGTAAAAAATACAATGGCTCTGGGTAATTGAAGTAAAATCTCCCATATAACTTGTGGGCACTAAGCCCTCGATATGACCTGCTTGACCCTGTTCTGGATCTGAGGACCCATGCCCGCCTCTTTCCATTGTGCTTGTTTCACACCTACAAAACAGCTTCCGGGGTTCCCTATGTGTCTCTTGAGAGAGGCTCTCCGTGTAGCCACACATGGTTTCCTAGGCACGAGCCATAGAGCGGGGGTCTTTGCCATCTTCCCAGCAGTTTAGTGAACAAGCCGACACCTGTAGGGCTGTCTTGCCATGCTGGTCTTGGTGGTTTACAGGCCTTGTAGCTGGATAGGACTTGATTCCCTCCACCCTTCCCCTTGCAGGGCACTATGGAAGGAGCCTTTCGCCTTAGATCCACCTTGAAGAATCTGAGTCGTGTGTCCTAAGTCCTCCTATCTTCAGCAATAGGGACTTAACCTTCAGTCTCGGGGAGGCAGCCAAGGGCAGCAGCAGTAACCTATAATGAGTCACATGGACTACCCTGAGCAACCACTCAAATAGAGGTTTTTCATGTCTGTTTTTTTTTTTTGTTTGTTCATTTTTGGTTTCAGTTTTTCAAGACAGGGTTTCTCTGTGTAACAGTCCTGGCTGTCCTGGAACAATGTTTTGTAGACCAGGCTGATCTCAAACTTACAGAGTTCTGCCTGCCAAGTGCTGGGATTAAAGGTGTGTGCCACCACTGCCCAGCGCTACCAGAGTTTTTATTAGACAGTCTAAGGCTCTTGTGGGGAGCATTGTCAGCACAAGTTGCATTACCTTCAGTTAAGGTATGCATATCTGCGTATAGTATTTATATTATTGTACATAATTTATGATTTCAGATAACTAGAAAACGATTCCTTGAAGCGTTATCAAACAATCTTGGTGCTGTTTGTGAGTCCTACCTTCTCTATTGCCCTCTCCCCATTTTCCGTGTCTCCCTTCACATCACGGTGTCTTCCCTGTTTCCCCTGAAGCGCCCCTCCCCCCACCACAGTCCCTCTCTGCTCTACTGGTTTCTGTGGCTGCTTCATGTTACCTGTCTACTTACTCTGAAGATTTGGAGCTAGGAATTGCAGAGGAGAGAGGACGTACAGGGTTTGCCCTTCTGGGTTTCGGTTGTCTTACTCAATCCATTTACTGCATTTTTAGAATTGCCTTTTTCTTTACCGCTGAATGGGATTTCATTGTGTATTATGTACCACATTTTCATTATCTAGTAATCTGTGGAAGAACATTTGGCTTGTTTCTATCTTCTGCTGCTGTCATTAAGGCAGCAATGAATGTGACCAAACGAGTGACCATGGTTATGACGTCGCGTCCTTTGGGCATCTGCCGGGAAGTGGTAGAACTGGGTCAGGTGTATTTGCAGACTTTGAGGGTGCTCCATCCTGACTTGCAGAGAGGCTATAGCAGTTTGCTTGATCGCCAGCAGTAAATGTGGCTTCCCTTTCCCCACATCCTCCCCCGCATTTGTTGTTAGCTGTTTTGTAATCTTAGCCACTGACAGGAGTGAGAGGACATTTGCATTTCAGTTTGCATTTCACCAACTGCTAAGGATGGTGTGGTCCTTTGAAAGAAAATGGCAGCCGATGGGAGTGGTTCTGTTAGGGGATGTGGCTTTGTGGGAGTAGGCGTGGCCTGGTTGGAGGAAGTACGTCACTACGGAGGCGGGCTTTGTGGTCTCATTTATGCACAAGACACGGCCCAGTGTCTCAGACCTCTTGCTGTTGCCTGTGGGTCAAGATATAGGAGCTCTCAGCGCCTTCTCCAGCACCACGTCTGCCTGCACGCTGCCATGCTTCCCGCCATGGTCATGGACTGAACCACTGAACTGTAAGCAGACCACCACAATTAAATGTGTTTCTTTATAAGACTTACCATTCTCACGATGTCTCTTCACTGCAATAAAAACCCTAGCGAAGGCAAATGGTCAACATATTTTGAGGTATTTCATAGCCATTTAAGTTCTTGTAGTAAGAACTCTGTTCAGATCCATAGCCCATTTCTTAATTGTTTTATTGACTTGCTTTTTGAGTTCTTTGTATATTCTGGCTATTAATCATCTGGCAGACATATAGTTGTCAAAGATTCTTTCCTGTTTTATGGGTTTCTTCAGTCAATTTATTGTTGCCTTAGCTGTACAGAAACCTACTTGTCAGTTGGTGGCCTTAATTCCTGGACATAATGGAGTCCTATTAAAAAATCCTTTCCTATACCTAGATCTTGCAGGGTACTGGCTATGTTTTCTTCTAGACGTTTTAGCATTTCAGGTTTAAAATTGAAGTCTTTGGTCCACTTGGAACTAATTTTTGTGCAGGATGATAGATATGGATCTAATTACATTCCTCTGCATGTGGACATCCAGTTTCCACAGTACTATTTTGTTGAAGATGCTGTCTTTAGTGTATATTTTTGGCGTTATTGACAAATATGAGTCAGATGGCTATAGTTACATGTACTCATGTTTGGACCTTTCTTTCCCATTGGCATATATATTCTTTTTATTATTAACATAGCTCTATGGTACATCTGGAGTCTAGGATGGCAGTCCCTCCAGTATTGTTTTTGTTCAGGATTGCTTTGAATATCGAGGGTTTTTTTTTTTTTTTTTTTTTTTTTTTTTAATTTTCCTGGTACCATAAGGATTTTAGGATTCTTTTTCTATTTCAGTGAAGAATGTTGTGAGTATTTTGACTGGGATTGCACTGAACCTGTAAATCTAACAGATCACTCAACAAAGCTTATCAAATTCTGAAAAAACTGTAATAATTCCATGCATCCCATCTATCATGAAATAAAATTTAAAATTGACAGCAGAAAATGTGTAGTAAGTACATAACTCACGGAGACTAAACAACTCATTGCTGAATGTAGAATGAGTCAAATAAAAAATAGAATTTCTGTTACTAAATAAAAACATAACAGAACAAAACCTTTGGGGCATATTAAAAGTAGATCTAAGAGGGAAGTTGTAGCTTGAAATGCCTATGTTAAAAGACCAGAAACAGCATGAATAAGTAAGTTAATGTTGCAGCTTAAGTATTGGAAAAAACAGTGGGGTGTGGTTGCTACACTCTAGAATCCCAGCACTTGAGAGGAAAAGCAGGTGAATCTGTTAGAGACCAGTCTGTTCTACGTAAAGAGTTCATAGACCATATCTCAGACAGGCAGAATGGGTAAAAACAAGAACAAACCAAACCCAAATCGAGTAGATGGCAAGAAATATAAGTCAAAGCAGAAATTAATGAAACGGAAGCAAAGAAAAAAAAAATCCTTGAATGCAAGAGCTGGTTCTTTGAGAAGATAAAATTGACAGGCCCTTGGCCCAACTAACCAAATAAAGATATGATCCAAATGAACTGAATCGGGAACGAACAAGGAAACATTACAACACCATCAGTGAAATTCAGAATATTGTAAGGTATTACTTAAAAAAAATTCTCTATTCCATTACATTGGAAAATCTAAAAATGAATTTCTTGATTCAAATCGACAAAGTTAAGCTAAGAAGAGATCAAAAGTCTAAACAGACCCATGACAAATAAGGACATTGAAAGAGTAATAAAAAGCCTTCCAACTAAAAAAAAAAAAAAAAAAAAAAAAAAAGTTCAGGACCAGATGTATTCACAGCAAATCCTTCTAGACTTCCAAAGATCTACAGCCAGTCCTTATTTCATTAAAAAGAAAGGAAAACAGAACACTCCCTAACAAATCTATAAAGCTAGTATTAACATTAATATCAAGACCAGGTAAAACAACAATAGAACAAAAACTGGACTGAGCTACTTGATGAACACAGAGAGATCCTCAATAAAATAGTAGCAAACTGAAAATAGGCATATATCAAGAAGATCCTCCACTGTGCTCGAGTTGGCTTTATTATCCCAGAAATGCAGGACAGTTCAACATACTAATATAATAAATCATATGAATGGACTTAAAGATAAAAATCACAGATTATCTCAATAGCATAAAATGAAAAGCTGACAAAATCCAACATGCTTTTATGATAAAACTCCTAGAAAGTAGGACTGGCAGAAATGTACCTTAGCATAATAAAAGCTGTCTAAGACAAGCCCATAGCCAACATTATCCTAAATAGAGGAGATCTTGAAGCAATCCCATTAAAGTCAGGAGTAAGATGAGCTGTCTGCTATTCCCGGCCCTTTTCAGTACAGTGCTACAAACCTTGCTGGAGCAATAAGGAAAACAAGGCATATACACAAATAGTCATTTTGATTTGCAGATGTTACTTTATACATAAGAGATCTTTAAAATGCCACCAGAAAACTTCTAGAAATGAATTGAGCAAAGTGGTAGGATACAAAATCAAGTTAGAAAAATTAATAGCCTTTCTACATACCAACAACAAATATTGATCTTGGGCACAGTCTAATTTACAGTACCTTCAAATGTAATAAGATATTCTGGGATGAAACTAACCAAGGAGGGGGGGGAGACCTCTGTAATGAAAGTTTCAAATTTATGAAGAGATGGAGAAAGACTAAAAAAACTGGAAGCCATCCCATGTTCATGGGACAGTAGAAGTATATTGTGAAAATGACCATCCCACCAAATCTTATAAAACAAACACATTACTAGTGATATCTCTGGAGTGGATATAATTGTAAGTGGATTGTAATAATCGTCACAAAACAGGTGGGTACCACTGACATAATTAAAACAGTTTCTACAATAACTGAATTCCCAGAAACTACAGTTACCAGCTCTGCATTGCCCGCAACCCTGCATTCCTCAGCTGTGTGGATGCCCTAGGAAGGTTTGGTCCCTGATTAGTGGAACTGTTTGGGAAGGGTTAGAAGGTGTGGCCTTGTTGAAGTCGTGTCTGTGGGAGTGAGTGAGCTTTGCGGTTTCGAAAGCTCATGGCAGGCCTAGCCCCTCCACCCCCGTCTCCGGCTCCGACTCTTGCCTTGTGCTTACGAATCAGATGTCCTCAACTAATGCTCCAGTGCAATGCCTTCCTGCCTGCTGGTGTGCTCCTTGCAATGACAGTAGTGGACTTATCCTGGGAAACTGTAAGCAAGTCCCCAGTTAAATGCCTTTATAACTTACTTTGGTCATGGTGTGTCTTACAGCCACAGACAGAAACTGAGAGCTATATCAGTAACACACGTTAACTCAAAAGCAAAAAAAGTTTATTTTCTGATATATAAAACCAAAACATTTAATATATAATGACATAGATTTTTTTTTTTTTCTTTTTGAAGGAAGAAATAAAATGTAGGAGTAGAGTTCTGTTTAGAAAAATACAGTCAGGCATCCGACAAACACATGTAATTTCTCAGATGCAACATCTCATAAAGGTCACAGGCCTGTGAGTTCCCTTGAATAAATTGATTCGTAAACCGATTCGCATTTGCCAAACAACTTAAGCATGGTAAGAAACCACTTTCCATCTTGGTAGCAAGCCCAGTGTATTCAGCACAACGTACCAAGCAGCAGCTTAGCTGATAACAGCCCTGTAGTAACTGGCCATCAGGGTTTCTGTAGTCCTTTTGAGAAGACACATCCCAAACTACTGCAGCAACCCAGGAGATGCTTGGTCAGCACTGAGATGTAGGGAGCATCTTACCTTGTACTCACAAACAGTGGATGGTCCTCAGCACACAACTGAGAAACAGACCTGGGAAACAACAACTCAGAAAAAAAAAAAAAGCTACTTCTGCCCAAAGGGAAAAAAAAAAAAAAAAAAAAAAAAAAAAAAAAAAAACAAACCGAGTTCTTAATAAATTCCGGGCAAAGGACAACACAGGGATGCAGTTTCCGCTCTGACATTTCATGAAGTCAGGACAGTTCTGCCTCTGACCAGCAGGTGGGGCTGTCAACCTGGAAGGCTGGGAAGACACTTTAGACCTGTATTTACATGAAAGATTCACTTGGTCAGTTTGTTCTCAGTTAATAAATGCACCATTCTCTCTTCGACATTGTATCCAAACAGAAAACACAATTCATGTGAAACTTAATTGAGTCAAACAATAGTAGGCCTCTAAGAAGAGTGATCTGTCACAACTATTTTAAGTTGCATGTGACTGGTTCTACTTAAGGAAGCGGGCTCTCGCTAGTGACCACTGTTGTAGGAACGTGCACCTTCCTTATAACAACAGCAGCTGTTTAAAAAGCAAAGCTAATACATACTGCTGTGGTGCTCGACATCTTAAAACTGCCCAAGTCAGTCAACCCAAGGAAAACCCTGATGTAAACATCGGCTCTTAATCCATGTGCCATCACTGGGCCCGGCTTGTGCGGCCTACAGCCCTACTGTAATAAGAGGTTGATGGCAGTGACTGCCTGCCTGTCCAGGCTGGGACAGGTATGCAGACGCAGCCGCTGTAACCCCAATGGCTCCTGGGTATAGGCCAGTGGGCTGGCTTTGTGAGCTGCCTACAAGCAGTGTGAAAACAGGTTCTTCCTGTGAGGAGACCCATCCCTAGACAGCTCTCAATTCCTGTCACAGCCACACTGGGTCAGTAGAGGGCTCAGGCGGCACAGATTTTTACATGAGTTTTACTATTTAAAAAAAAAGTTATCCATAAAGCATCACTTTAAAAACAAGTATTTAAGAAAATTTAAAAACACTGTACTTTTAGCATTTTGTTTCACTCTGCAAAGATTCTGGACATACACTGAGGCCTGGCTCAGAATATGTGCAGGTGTGTTTAGTTTTAAGGCCCGTGAAAAAAATCCTATAAAAATAGACAGTATTCTTGTCCAAAAGCTTATTAAATAAAGAATAGGGTTGTAGGAATGATGATGAAAAAAGAAAAAAAGATGAAGTACACAATTACTTTTCTTATTTTAAAATTGACATAAAAAATTAAAGTATTTCCTTTTGGAGTCACTATACATCTAATAAGTACTACATGCTACTCAACACTTGCCACCCACGGGTCTTGATGCCACGCAGTGTGTCTGGGGGCTCAGCCTGCCCAAGTGGCTCAAGCCCTAGAGTGTGATGGCTGGCCCATGCTCCTCCACGCCTCCTTGAGGGAGGACCAGGCTGTGTCTGGGGTCTGGTTTCAGGGAGCTGAGAAATCTGTGAATGCTGCCATTGCTCTCCCTCCCAGAGCTGTGTAGGACCGTGTCCCTGTGCAGCCTGTGGGCAAGGCTGGTTCCATTGGCCCTGGAGAGGCTGCCTGGAGGTACAGCCTGTGTCTTGGGAATGTGCTGAGGTTCCAGAGCCCCCTCAATGACAATGTCGGCTTCCTCATCACTCTCCATCTCTTCGGGGTGGAAATTCTGCAGGACATGGGCGGCTGGCAGGCTGTGGTGACTGGTGGCGCTGTCTGTGGACTGGACAGAGCTACTGGATGTGCGGCTGCTGCGGACCACGTTGTTCCTTTGGTTGGCAGGCTTGACGGTGACGATGAGGTTGTGGCTGTTGGCGATCATCATGTCTGTGACCTGATCCAATGTCTTTCCAGCTACCTCGATCCCGTTTACCTCCAGGACTTCGTCATTCACAGCCAGTAGCCCGGTGCTCTCTGCAAGGCCCCCAGGCACCATTCGGGAAATGAAGATACCCGGTACTTTCTCTAGCCCGTGAGGGGTCACACGCACGCTGGTGCCATCTCGGATGTAGAAGCCCAGTGGTTTTTCACAGCCATGCCTGTAGAGCCTCACTCGGCGATGTGTCTCGGGGAGTATGTCCACATCAATGATGGAGGACACTGGGCGGAAGTCATGGGGCATGCTGATGTTGAGGTGCGCACGCCGGCGCAGACCCTCATCCCTCAGGGTCACCAGCACTTTCTTCTTCCTGGACAGAGTGCCTGTTCCAAAGCTGTAGTGGTCTGCCTCTTCTGAAACAGTCCAGAGAGAGTAAAGTGAGAAGCACGTCACGTGCAGGCAGGCAGAAAAGACTAGGAATGTGTCTGCGGTGTCGGGAAGCCTGTGTCTGCTGGCCCCAGATTCCAGGTCTTTCTGCTACCTACTCTGCAACCACTTCCGTGTCCCCCTCCCCCAAGTCTGAATCCCAGAAGCACTGTGTCTGGGACCTGATGTGCAGAAACATGGGGTGACTGGGGATTGTCTCACTTTCCAGTGGATATCTCCAACCTGGCCCCAGGGAAGGAGGTAGAATGAAGAGCCCACAATGAAGAGAATTAGCAAAAGAAAGAAGGGTTAAACATTTGGGAGGCTGGCAAAATTGAAAACAGGTCAAACCACAGCAGGGCCTGGCTGCAGGAAACTTCTGCAAACACGGGTTAAACCACAGCGGGGTCTGGCTGCAGGGAGCTTTCACAGACAGATGGCGGGAACTGGGGGGTTTGAACATCCACCCGAGTCCCTAGGTGATTCCCTGGTGATTCACTTGCAGCTGTTGGAACAGAGAACTAGTTCTGTCTTAGGTTAATTCCTAAGAGAGACCCTCTCCTCTCTCGGCAAACACCGTGGTGTTAGCAGCACTCAAGGGGACGGTTTTTGCTCGTTTTTTGAGCAGTGGCTGATGAGGTGTGACACAGCACCTTGCACCAGTAGGGTGACAGGCCACTGCAAGAGCAGACATGTTTGGATGAGTTAGCTGGCCAGGGATATGCTGAGTAGCCTGGTCTAAAGCACAGCGTTTGGAAGATGAAAGGCAGTAGGCTGGTGTTTGGAAATGCTGAAGAGATCGCTTTCTCAGGTTAGAAAAACATAGCACATTTATTTTTATATTAAGTCTTCTATCTGACACGGGAGGCTATATAAGAAAGCACATCTGGACTCAGATCAAACAGTCTCCACGGCTCATCTCCCTGGATACACAAGTGTCGGCTCTACACACTGCTCCCATGGAGTCTGTGCCTCATGGCGGCCTCCTCTGCATGGACTTGGGCTGGTATGGTGCCTGTCTTTGCCAACAAAAACTCATCCAGGAGACGTTTATCTTCCCAACCTCCCCTCTCTCTTCAAAGGCTGACCACTTCTCAGACCCACGCCCTCATAAGCAGGATACCGAGGGGTGGCCTGCTCATGCCCTGTCTCCCTGTGTGCCTGCAAAAGATGTAGGATTGATGGAATAAGGACCAGACCGCAGGCAGCGGAAAATGGGTAAGAGAAAAGGAGTGGCAAGGCGGTCCTAACACCTAGAGAAACTGCTTGTCCTTCATTCTGGAGGACGGCTGGTGGGAGAGAAAGCCCAGGCGCTCGGCATGGAAAGGGCTAGGGCTAGGGGCAGGGCCAAAGAGGGCAGCCCCTAGGTTACGAAGCCCAGGAAAGAGAAGCCCCCGCTGCAGCTGAGACTCTTGAGGCAGGTAACCCCGTCTGGTAGTGTCATCTGGTAGCGTGTTAGCACAGAGGAAACACTTGAGTGCAAAGTTCAGGCTGGAAGAAAATGCTCCCGCTACAGTCACATACCACCTGGTGACAAGAATGGTCGCACCTTGGTGGCTAAGCTTCAAGAATCGCCATCACTAGAAGACAGTGCCCGAAGCTAGGCGCATGGCCAGCCCTGCGGTCAGCAAGCACATGGGAATCACTGCAAGCCTGCTCCTCCAGGGAGAGCCTCACACATTCACCGAGCCAGAGTGGGTTTCTATACGCAGCCAAGCAATGGTTTGTGGTGTGTGACTCAAGTCTTTCCCTTGGCTGAGTTCCTCTGCATAGAACACACGGGAAGCCTGCCACTGGCACCCCACAGACGCCAGCATCTATGATGTGACCATCCCCAGACACCACACTGAAGCAGTATCAAGCAGCAGCAGCAATGGAAGTCAGGAAGGTGAGACCTGAGGCCGGGGGAAAGGGTGTGAACTTACTGCACGTGCAGGGCTAGCGGAAGGCTGTAGACTTGCAGGCTTTACCACACCTAAAGCTGGGCCTCAGCCCTGCAGCCACACGGCCCGGTTTTGCTTTAACTAAAGAAATGAACCCAATTAAATGGGCACATTTTATCCGTCTTTCATGCATTATCACCTGCTTGAAGGTGGGGCTTTTGCTGGGGCGGGGACACTCATGCATTGTGCTTCTTACCGATAGAGACCCAGGAATTGTAAGCAGTGAGGTTCAACAAACCAGGTTCCCTAACTTTTGGCTTCTGTGGTGTTGTCTAGACCCTAGTGTCCAGGCCTTGCTTCTGTGGCCCTGACCCTGTAGTCATAGCTCCCAAGTTCATTTCTGCATCAGAAGTTCCAGTAGACCTAAAGGTCCCGACAAGGTTGCTTGTTCCCTTTGGGGCCCATCACGATGGCTAACAGAGCACTCTCCTTTTTCATCCTAAGACACCGGTCCACAGAGACAGCAAAAGTAAACAAGGGCGACCTTGGGAACTTGTGGGGCCGCGCTCTACTGCAGGGCCCCGGTTACAGTCGCCAAAACGGCTATGTATGTCATATGTGTGAGATGTATTGGCAAATGCACACGAAGGTCTGGGGACAAGGTACATCCAGAGTACCAGGGTGGAGACCACACATCTCAGAGCAGCGAGCCTGGAGCTGGTGCTCGGGACAGTCTACAGAGTGGGCAGATCCTGTGTGGAGCCCCAGGGCTGGCCAGCAGAATTCCTCACCACTGTCTGATACCCAGGAGCCTTTGGAAGAGGCTCTCCCAAGGATGGAGCAGGCGCCACTACAGCTCCTTGGCATTTCCACACTGACTCCCCTCCGGCTAGATTTGCAAACAAGTCCCGCTGTGGATGGTGGCTTGCCTCAGATGCTCTCAAGATGCTGCTGTCTGTGGGGAATGTGACCACAGAGGGTGTGTGCCCCAGCAGGCTGGTCAGGGGCTCATGGGACACGACTTGTGCTCTCCCGGTGCTGCAGTTTACCAGCTGGCCATGCTCGGGCACCAGCTAAGCAGGTCCAGAGCCCTAGTCCAGAGCCAGCACCACTGCAACGGGGAGGGGCTGGGGCTGTGCTCGAGGCTCCAGCTTCATCCCGAGAACCACGAGTTGGAGAGTTGGAGACCATGTCTATCACTGGCAAATGGCTGTGTAAGGAGAGAGGGCATGCCGGCTTCGAGACAGGCCGTAAAAAGCGAGCTGTGCCCCGGAGGGAAACAGGCAGGTGCCGCACAAGATGGAGCTGTGCGTGTGCACCTTCTGAACACTTGGACTATCTTTCCCAGCAACCGCACTGGAGAACACACAACCCCTGCCTGCTCCAGGATGTGGTGCTGGAGAGCTGCGGTCCGCAGGCTGGCACGAGGGAGTTTCAGACAGCAATGTGTTTCTATCTCTTTTTTAATATGAACCATCACACATGGACTTTATTTGTAAAAAAATCCCAAACTCTCTAAAAATAAAAGTGTTATAAAGAATGCCCATTCCTAAAATTCCAACCTTGGTTTCTGAAATGAATACCTTTGAAAAGAGCAAAACTGCCTTAGCTTCTTCAACAAGTAACATGCTAAACTTTCTATTTTCTAAAGTAAATAATTAAAAGAATTTCTTTTTTTTTTGAGCCGAATATATCTTGTTTTCCCTCATGTTTTTTCTCTTTCTTTCTTTCTTTCTTCCTTTCTTTCTTTCTTTTTTTTTTTTTTTTACTTCTGCTTCAAGATGTCCTCAGTAAGAGGACACACAAGGAAATGTTAGTCTGACCCTGTGAAACTCTGGTGGCTACAGGTCTTCAAAAAGATTTCCAGAAATATTTTCTTACTGACAATCCCTTACATCATGTGTGTCTCTGGCATGGCAAAACTGTCCCTAATGCGGAGGCTTTTCTCGGCGAGGAGGAAGCGGCCTCCTTCAGAACTTGGGGGCCGTGCTCCTGGTCGGCGCCTGTTTACTGGATGTTTTCAAAGGGCCAGAACAGGAAGACGCCCCTTGTCCTGTGCTGGTCTCCTCCATGCTTCTCGGCCTGGGGAAACCCATGGCTCGGTTGGGCCTGCTGAGGTCCCGGCATGAAGACCCCTTTTCATTCTGGTTGGGGATTTTTTGGATGAAGATCAGAATGGACGTCAACATCCACTCCAGATTACTGCTGTGTATCAGGGCTGTACACGGAAAACTCAAGAGAAGCTGACTCACCAATGCCTCGTCTAACAAACGGATACTTGTGAGGTCCCAGCTCCGGCACCTGGCCACCCACAACCTGTACCACAAAGGCCAGCTGGCCAGCCTGTGGCAGCCTGGAAGCCCCAGGCAGCATGCGTGTGTGTGTGTGAGCAGCTGCGGAGGATTACACTGCCTCTTGGGCTCCCGAGGAGACTCACTGCCCTGAGTCTTGGCTGTTATCAGACAGAGATGTCTAGAATCGCCAATATTCCTGCTCTAGGCCCTGGAGCACCTGCATGTTTGCCCAGGCCGTCGCTAAGCAACGAGGAGCTTCAGGCTGCCGCTTTGGGCGTTCCACCACGGGTGAAGCAGGGCCATCTGCTCCATGACCTCTGCTCTCAGCAGAGCTCCATGCTCACAGGTCATGTGCTCCGGGATGCTTTCCAACGCTCCCTTGCTGTGGACAACCGTATCCCTGGTATTCCCATTCTCAGAGGAAACAGAAACACCAGAAAGCCGTTTCCCACCATCCATCAGGAGCAACAGGCAGGCCAGACAGGTACACTGTGACCTCTACACTCATCCTGGGGACCTTCCCCCTGAACCAGCGGATGACATCAGTTCTGTCCTTTGTTTATTCTGCTGAGCCTCCCAGAGAGCAGCAGCCCGAACATGTGTCTGCGTGTCCCCTAGACTGGGAATGCCAACAGTCCACACCGAAGGACAAGCGAGGGAGGGGCTCTGTGTCCCCTGATACGAGCTCCGAGCCAGCTATTTGTTCAAGGTGCTCTCACAGGTGGGGGGCAGAGCTACAGCTACGGCATGGCTCGTCGTGACGTGAGTCCACGAGCGGCCTGGTGGGTGCACAGCTGGAAACAGACCTTT